AAATCGTTCCGCGGAAGATCCGTGTTTGGAATACCGTGGTTCTCGCACGATTTCGTCTTACGTTTCGACGCAACCGTGATATGAGCCGTTTATTTTGAAAGTGGCATAAGTCACTTTACCGTAATGAAAAGTGGTGATTTTTTAATGTTTATACGAAATTATTTATAGTGAGAAAAATATCAGTATCCTGAGATAACAAATACAAGTAAATCTTCTCGAAAGTTAGCATCCATATTTTTAAACGCGTTAAAACGCGAACCCTTAAATATATCGACTTAAAAACAAAGTGACTTATGCCACTTTCAAAATAAACGGCTCATATTTCATTCGCGATCTCGTATATTAACGCAATACGGTCCGAGCTGTTTGTGCGAAAGCTTTTGCGTGTACCCGGCATATTTTATGGTTTCTGCATCGACTTACAAAAATGGACGTAACTTATAAAATATCAGACAGTTAAATTAAATTATAAGATATGTTGCCTCGTTTAAAGTCAATTTTATTTAGATTCAATTGCACAAATAAAGATTGGATTTTCTATTTGAAAGAAAATGCATACACTAGAAAGCTGGCCTTTATTTTTTAAAAAAGGGGACATATTCCAATGTTCTAGTTAATTGTCTTTAGAATTTTTTAAGAAAATACAAAAAAAAAACAATCCACAAAACCTGCTGTCTACAAATTATACGACATTGTCAGAGGAGGATAAAGAACTTTGTGATATGAGTGGATTAGAAATCTAGTGGCGTAACTTACATTTTCCCGATTGTAAGAAACGAGGAGTGTTATTGTTTACTAACATGTGTATCGCTTACTGACGAAGTTTGTTGTTACGATATTTTAGAATTAAGTTAATTTATAGTATTTTCATGTAATTTACTTGTCACTTGCCTTTTTAACATTTTCCCAGATATAAATTACATTTCAAGCCAATAGTTAAAATTTTCTCTTTAACATTTTGCCATGTACAGATCACATTTTAAGACAATAATTAAAATTTTCGAAAATGTCACTTACGTCGCTACGATTCTAACCCAATCATATTTACACCAGAAAGGAGTAATTTCTAGTGCCACTCTAGAAATTATTTTTCTATATTAGAATACGTCTACTGAATCGGAAATATGGGGTAGATGCGTACATTTCTGTATCGATCGCTTCTTCCGACCGTTTCCGAGCAAGAACAACCGAATCCTGCAGTCGGAGGGCAATTAACCGTATTGTCCTGACGCGCGACGGTAAAAAGTCGCGTTTCCTCCCTTTTGCGAGCCCCCCGGCGCATAGATTTCTACGGGACGGGCGAAAAAATCGATGAGCGAAACATTTTCTCGGCCATTAACGGACGCGTGAACCGAGGAAAATTGCATTCGGCCCTACACGGCGAACGAAACCGGGTGTAAAAAACAAAAACTGATTGTTGCGCGCGGCGAGATAAATTGTTTTCATTTGGTATTACGAGCGCGTAGTCTTCTCGCCCAGGAAAAACGGGCGACTGCGAAATTGCAAACGGCGACCGTCGTAGCTGTCGCTGTAATCGAGCGACGCGATGTTCAATCGTGATCCGCACTCCGATTAAACGACAGATTCCTTTTCGCGAATGTTTCTCTCCTACTCCGAACGGAATTTGATTTTATTATATTTCCGTTGGTAGATCACGAATCGTCGAGAATGAACATTTTCGGTATTAGAATCGCCTATAGGTTCGTCGTCGGCGAACGAAATTCTTCTCCATAAATGATGAGAAAACTGTGCTCAACTGTATTCCAGATTAAATCTTTTGTCAGCTTTTGCCTCGGTTGGCAAAATTTCAAAGGCACATCGCTTTAGATCAATCGACTGCGGATATTATTGATCCGCGGCGCCTATCCTTTCCACCACTGACGGTTTTCACCCCTTTCCAAACTTTCTTACCACTATATTCTTGGCACCAGACCCCTTGGTTAGAAGAGCCTAGCATTTAGGAGAAATCTAGTTTCGTCTTTCAGGATGATCTCGGCTTACGATCAATTAACCTACACCGGTCCGCTTTTACGCGCCCTCGAAATTTCTCGAGGCACCCTTCGCCGACGACACGGGCAACACCGTCTCGTTTAGGGTTATGACGGATACCGACGCTCCAATAAAATCAAAGTAAAAACACACGGAGCGAGGTGGTGGTGGAGCCAATTACTGTGCTTTTTGTGTATTTTCAAGCGTAATTAACACGTTGAATGCCACGGGGGTCACCGGTGACTGGCACTTAACTTGGCGGTGACGCCATGGGGGCCACCGATGACCGGCGCGCCTAAATTGATAGAAATATATATAATTTAAAACAAATGTTAATATCTAAAATTTTGTATTATTACCATCGTCGATTCAAACAGTGACCCCTGTCGCAATTCACATGTCAAACATGATTATACACTGTAACTTATCTATTGCAGATAATATTTCAACATTATATGTATCACATAAAAGAAAATTCATCGTGGCGCCACGGACAATTTCTGTAAAACCGGCGTGATATTCAACGTGTTAATAGACCGCGGATCTTTTGCAATTCAAACCGATTCATCGACATTCTTTCGACGTTTCTTCTGATATTTTCAGATAGTTCGAAATTATGCCTACTCGTTTTGCCATAAATGCATAAAATTCGCAGTCTAATAATTAATTTTATTTAAATTCGATACGCTATTTATTTGATAAAACTAAACATGTACGAAGAGAAAAGCTTGATAAATCGTTCTAGGTAAGATATCACAATGTTAATTGTATTGGTAAAACGTATTGAGATTACGGAGAGAAACAAAACTGATTATTTCTTTGAATTTTCATGTTTAGTTTCAATTTCTCAGTAGTTTATTTATTTTGCACAGCAACTGGAATTATTTTTCACTCGACGCGTTAGTTACTGTGCTGCTTACCACGAAGTAGGCTTACATAACCTCGTCTGGAATCATCCCTGATATATTTTTAAAGAGGAGAAATGTAAATATGAAATTTTGTTAGTGCAGCGATCTTTTAAATGACTTATTATATTAAATCTTTTTCGTGGAATATAAAAAATAGACACACTTGTGAATATTGAAATTAATTTTCAGAGAATAAATAGTGAAATAACAATTTTTATACCCTGGGTCTAAATAGATCCAGCCACACCGCTCTGTCGGAGTGTTAACATATTCTTGACCTACTTGCAGGAATTATTCTCTTTGAACAAAATTGTAGAATTCATTTCTTTCATATCATTCAGTCTTATTCTTCTTTAAAGATTTTTATTAGATCAGCCGATATTGTTTATGATAGGAAAGGGCTAGCTTTATTAAAATCTGATTACGCGGTAACGATCACTTCTCGATAACTCGACTAATGATTTCATAGCTTTTGTATCAGCTTGAACGGTTGATAATCCAATTTTCCGACACAGTAATCCTGTAGCGTTTAATCGCTTCTCGATTGCGTCAAGGCCTTAGGCAGACACAGTCACAAAATGCTGCGCTTTCAGGGAACGCTTATAATTATTTACGATTTCTCAGGAAAACGCATTTCGATCCTAATTAGCTGCTCTCCGAGTAAATAATTTTCAAAGCTGAAATTTACAAAGCCAATTATTTCTCTTTTAATTATATCGAGTGTTAAGCATTGCACCGAATTCACGTCATGGAATAAATTAATTTCGAAAATCAAGGGACGCGTCAGAGGGTATTAATTTTTAATGACTGTGCTGCTATGTTCTTCTCAGGCTCGTTCCACCCACTGACACTTTAATATTTTTAATTCTGTTTCGATCGTGCGTCTTTCGATTATATTTCAGAAAAATATAACAAAATTTGTTAATAATATGTATGATGCGTCTAGTAAGATTAAAACATTGCGATGCATAATCTCCTTGATAATAAAAGAGAAGCAACAAACAGAAGATGCGACACACAGTGACTAAAAATTATATTCAATTAATTAAATCCTTCGACACTCGCTTGTCAAACGCGTTCCTTTTAGAAAAGCTGACCGCAAGATTAAAATAACGCGGGAAAAGTGTGCAGAGTGTAGAGTTCGAACATAGAAATTCGTTCAAACGTTTCCGGAAAGTATATTTATTATTAGAATGCAGCACAGCACTTGCTACTATCTCATTGTCAAATTATTATATATATCCGCAACTTTCATTCTCAAAATTCATCGAAATTTCATCAAGCAAATCCATCGATTTCTTAACTTTCTAAAACTTGAAACAGTGAAGGCATATTCGAGAATTCAAAAATTCTGTTACTTTCGTTAAAAAGATTAAAAATGAAATGAACGTGTATGTAGCTCTTATATCTTACAATGAGTGTAGAATCTTAGTCATAATCGTATTCTTAGTTTAATCATGTATCATCAATATGATAAATATTCAATGATCATCTGTCAGTAAGCTATTTAATTCGTTTCTGTTGTTACGGAATAATGTATTCTATACTGAATATTAACGAAATACGAGTATTCCATATAAAATTTACGTTTAGTGTACCTACATGTGAACTTTAGCAAGTATAATAGTTCGAGTCAAGTCTAGGCAGAAGATCGTTACTTAGATACCTAGTTCGCAACAATTAATTATAATCTTCATGCAAAATAGAAAGTATCTTCATTAATTGCAATGAACGCCAGACTAATAAATATTTCTTTCTGAAATAATACATAGATGAAAATAATACATAGACGTCCTTGAATTCTTTCAACATTTCCATTGTTTTAAATTTCACATATCTATTTTTATTATATATGAATGCATAAAATTCGCAGTCTAATTATAATCCTTAGCAAAATCTACGGGTTTAGAAAAAGTAGCTCGATAAGTTTAAGTTGTAGATATTCTCGGTCGGTTTCCGCCTGCTTGTGAAAGGGTTTCGTATCCACCGTCAAACCGTGAAATAGTTTTCGCTCGTTGTCCATCCGTCCCGTGGAAAGCGTGACGAACCAATTTCCTGGTCTGATGCAACAGCTAATCGAACTATGATTCTTTTTTTTCGAAGTACATGACGGAGAAGATGGGCGGTGCGGAAGGAACTAAGCTCGACGTGGACTTCATGGACATGGAGAGGGTGAGTACATGCGTGTCCACGTTTTTAAGGTTTCCCGCGACACGTTCAGGTACTTCGCGCTTTCGACCTTGGATCGATCCGGTTCAAGGCTCGAGGAAATTCGTTATTAGTTTGCCGCGAGATTACGTTCGTAGTTCTCACCGCGAGCGAGATAATCGAGCTCGTGGGGAGAGACAGGGATTCTCTCGTTCGAAGAAAATAGACGAGAGAGTCGGCGAATGAGAGAGAGAGAGAGAGAGAGAGAGAGAGAGAGAGAAAGCAGGATTGAGAACAGCCCCTTGCGAATTTGATCGTAGAAAACGGATGTCACGTACGAGCTTGTCGAGGAGCTGCAAATGAAAACGAAAGAGTTCCTGCAGCCGAACCCGACCGCGAGGGCAAAGATGGCGGCGGTCAAGGGCATCAGCAAGCTCAGCGGTCAAGCGAAAGCTTCGACCTATCCGCAACCGGAAGGTGTCCTCGGCGACTGCATGCTCACCTATGGCAAGAAGCTCGGAGAAGACAGTATTTTTGGTACGCAGACGCATCTTCGACCTCTATACACATCATCAACCTCCACACACGCCATCAACATCTACGAACACATTCTACATCTGCAAACACCTTCTACGCTACAAACACCTTCTACATCTTCAACTACCTTCTACGAAATCACCGCGACAAATCCTTGTCTGCCAAGAAATTGTTTGAAATCTGATTTTAGCGAACCAATACGATTTTTACCAGTATTTCTACGGTGTTCATAAAAACTTGTAGTAAAGTTGGTTCGGCAGATTCGACTAAAACAACACGTGCATGTCTTCAGAAATTCCACTACAGTAAATTGTTATTATACAATATTTATACAATATTTATTATTACATTTATTTCAGCCTAACGGCCTAGAAATAGACTTCAGTTTTTTACATTTTGCTTACATTTCTTTATATATTGTACAGTTTCTTATCTTAAATTCACTTGTCTTACTTTATTTTGTACATTAAATTTACTTATAATTAAATTAGCTTCGACAGTCTTTGTCTAATACTCCTCTCTGCCTTTTTTTGCATTTTTTTTTCATCCTTCCTCTTTTCTATTCTCCTTAGCCATTCTATCGCTTCTCCTTTTTCTTCTAAAAAGGTATAATAATTAATATGCGACTAGGCTTTATTTAGAAAAATAGCAGCGTTATTATTGCATCTGCTCTATTTATTTATGTCTGTTTTTTGCTTATTTTTATTTGCGAACAAGTAATAAAACGAAGGAAGACTGATGTAAGGAAGTCAATTAATGTACTACGTTTCGTCATTTTTGGAAATCATGTTGCAGAATGATTTCACGTGTATTTCGTATTTGTCAATTTACAACGAACCAGTTGACACATTTTATTATATGTGTACCGTTACAATTGTGCTTATATACAAGTACAACTACAGATACTTAATTGTTTAATTTTTGTTAGGGTCGCATTTCGAAGCAACTCTTTTGTCTCCAATTTTCTTAAAATTCTTTAACACGTTGCCCAACATTGTTTGCCTACATTTAAGAATTGATTCTCGCGTTAGTATATAATATAAATTGACATCGACTTCAAACTCGTTTTTCTCCAATTGTGCTTCAATGCAAAAGACTGAGAGTCGAATTTTTCAAATTCTGTTCAAAGTTTTTATAACGAGCCTGTCGCAAGACTGCAACAAGAAACCAACGTTTAGAAAATTAGCTTAACATTAACGAAATTCTTAGATTTAAACTGTACATTATAAAATTATCGCCGAGAAATAATGAGCCAAGAACATGGTCGATCTTATTGGTCCCGCGAAACTCGGCCGGAAGTCCTCCAGTTCTTGGACGCATAAATACGCGCTTTGACCCATCTGTCTTTTCTAATTCCTGCAGCTCAGGCACTGATCGAGATGGGCGAGGCAATGAAGCAGATGGCGGACGTGAAATATTCGCTGGACGACAACATTAAGCAGAACTTCCTCGAGCCCCTGCACCACTTGCAAACCAAAGATCTGAAGGAAGTGATGGTAAAATCTCGCTGTTTATTGAAAAAGTTTGTTCGGTCGCGGACGCGGCTGAACAACATCGAGCCCCGCGTTGTGCACCAGTTGTTGAACGGCCGGCACTGTCGGCTTTTGTTTCAGCACCACCGGAAAAAACTTCAGGGACGAAGGCTCGACTTCGATTGCAAGCGAAGACGCCAAGCGAAAGGTACACTCGTCGCCTCGTGTGTTCACACTTTATCTCCGCGTATCTTTATTGATTTATTTAAGCAGCACACGTCAGGGCAGTCGCCACGCGCGGCCTTGCGACACGAAAACTTGACGCGTTTGCAATTATAATTCGCATTTCCCGATAAACGACACCCCAGACCGGTCCAGACTGGCGAGCACCGCGCGGGAAATCCAGCTGGTACCACGATTAGGCGTGCGTTCTCAAGACGTGTCGTCGAACACACCGATTCTAGCTGATGACAAGTCGTTCTAATCAGGGGCTGTTTCCTATTTGTATTGAGATCATTACATATGGGGGAGGTTTCATCCTTCATACAATGATTTAGTTTAGACAGTCTTATTGCATACATGTGTTTACAACCATCCTGTACAAAAACTGCCAGTTGATGGAACAGTTCTTACAACTTTTATGAGATTGTTACAAAGGGGAGGTTTTATCCTGGTTAATCATGGCGCTTTGGTTTCGACAGTTTGCAATCATTCTGTTTTGTACAAAACCCCCTTTTTACAACCCCTCGTTTCTACTGTTTCATAGGAGATGTTCATAAGAGGCATGTAGCTGGATTTTTAAGCATTCAACCAAAACTGTAACAGAGATGAATAGGATACAAATTGAATTTATAAACTACAAAATTCTTTATGCTGAAAGTTTTATTATTAATGCGAGGACACTATAGCAATTACAGCCTAGTGATCAGAAAAGTTAGAATAATTGTAACATGTCCTAGAGAAATGAAGTTACTGACATTCAATGAAAGAAATTGAGAAAATGAAATACCATTAAATATTAACATACTTTTAAACAACATCCCCACCGTATTACTCCAAAATATATAATTTAGGAAACGTACAGATAAAGACCAAAACTTAGGCAGACAAATACTTTTGATATTTTTCCGTGGTAACTATAATGATAGGAATTCTCATTAGCTAGAATCGGTGTTTGGCGCACCGTTGTGTTGTCGTCCTGGATGTACCACTGCAGTCAAGGCTGTGGCGAGAAAGCTGTTGAATCAGAAAATTCTTTTACTTTTTTCTCGTTTCGACACCCTTTGAATTGTGGCGCCCAGAGGAGCGCGACCCTCTGCCTCGACTGTCGGCACAGCCCTGGTTGCATTTCACAAGGGGTCACCACGACCAATCAAATTACAACGTTATACGACAATTTAGATAACGATATTTGTGTTTGAAGGTGCGTTTCTTGTGCCTTTCAGTCTGAGAAAAGGCTAAACCACTCGCTATAAATACACAGCACTCGCATGTACTGCCGCATGTGCACGTTCTGATCGTAATTGTTAACTGTTGCACACCGAATTCTCGATGATCAACAACGGCGTGGCGTGTCGAGGCAGTTTCAGCCGTTTCGTTTTACCTTACATATTAACAAACTGGAGGAACTTTGATTTTTGTTTCTTTGACGCAACCTTGATCACTAAGCAGCCGGGAAAAGATCCTCCAGTCCGCATTGTGGAAGTCCGGTAAAGACTTCTTTGTCACCGTACACTGGTATGTGGTATCCCCATGAGTACCCCATTTACAGCGTTGTAGGATCTCGAGCTTTGATCTTGGACACTTAGATATATTTGTGTATCTTGAGGTATCTGTATGTAGACACACAGCACTGTTAGATATACTCTACACAACCTGTTTCAAACGATCTCGAGGGGAACGTTGTGGGAAGCTAATTAAGATTGCCAGACCTCCAGGATACTAAAGTTTCTGTAAAAGTTGGAACTGATTAGAATCGAGGATGTTTACAGTAAAATTAACTTTGTTGATTGTAGTTAATGTTTCACGAAATGTCCTGGATAACTTCTCCTAAAACATGGTAACCCTGGCTATGTATAGACACACGCACAAGAATATACAAGGTGGTTCCCAAGAATATGTTTTACAGAAAGGTGCATTAGCATCGAATGAATGACACCACGTATGCAACAATGGACCATCCTGTACATTGTACTGAAGTATTTGCGAGTGCACCGAATGCAATATCTGGCAAATCTCCTGAGTGAACCTCGGTATTTGCACACGCCTGCGTTAGAAAGCAAGAGACGAATGCAATCGAAGACCTTAGAGGTCACGCGATTTCCGGTGTTACTTTCCCTAGCGTACTGTTCCGCTTTCTCGTTCTCCCCCCCCCCCCTCCGTATCTTGCGTATCGATNTTAATGCGAGGACACTATAGCAATTACAGCCTAGTGATCAGAAAAGTTAGAATAATTGTAACATGTCCTAGAGAAATGAAGTTACTGACATTCAATGAAAGAAATTGAGAAAATGAAATACCATTAAATATTAACATACTTTTAAACAACATCCCCACCGTATTACTCCAAAATATATAATTTAGGAAACGTACAGATAAAGACCAAAACTTAGGCAGACAAATACTTTTGATATTTTTCCGTGGTAACTATAATGATAGGAATTCTCATTAGCTAGAATCGGTGTTTGGCGCACCGTTGTGTTGTCGTCCTGGATGTACCACTGCAGTCAAGGCTGTGGCGAGAAAGCTGTTGAATCAGAAAATTCTTTTACTTTTTTCTCGTTTCGACACCCTTTGAATTGTGGCGCCCAGAGGAGCGCGACCCTCTGCCTCGACTGTCGGCACAGCCCTGGTTGCATTTCACAAGGGGTCACCACGACCAATCAAATTACAACGTTATACGACAATTTAGATAACGATATTTGTGTTTGAAGGTGCGTTTCTTGTGCCTTTCAGTCTGAGAAAAGGCTAAACCACTCGCTATAAATACACAGCACTCGCATGTACTGCCGCATGTGCACGTTCTGATCGTAATTGTTAACTGTTGCACACCGAATTCTCGATGATCAACAACGGCGTGGCGTGTCGAGGCAGTTTCAGCCGTTTCGTTTTACCTTACATATTAACAAACTGGAGGAACTTTGATTTTTGTTTCTTTGACGCAACCTTGATCACTAAGCAGCCGGGAAAAGATCCTCCAGTCCGCATTGTGGAAGTCCGGTAAAGACTTCTTTGTCACCGTACACTGGTATGTGGTATCCCCATGAGTACCCCATTTACAGCGTTGTAGGATCTCGAGCTTTGATCTTGGACACTTAGATATATTTGTGTATCTTGAGGTATCTGTATGTAGACACACAGCACTGTTAGATATACTCTACACAACCTGTTTCAAACGATCTCGAGGGGAACGTTGTGGGAAGCTAATTAAGATTGCCAGACCTCCAGGATACTAAAGTTTCTGTAAAAGTTGGAACTGATTAGAATCGAGGATGTTTACAGTAAAATTAACTTTGTTGATTGTAGTTAATGTTTCACGAAATGTCCTGGATAACTTCTCCTAAAACATGGTAACCCTGGCTATGTATAGACACACGCACAAGAATATACAAGGTGGTTCCCAAGAATATGTTTTACAGAAAGGTGCATTAGCATCGAATGAATGACACCACGTATGCAACAATGGACCATCCTGTACATTGTACTGAAGTATTTGCGAGTGCACCGAATGCAATATCTGGCAAATCTCCTGAGTGAACCTCGGTATTTGCACACGCCTGCGTTAGAAAGCAAGAGACGAATGCAATCGAAGACCTTAGAGGTCACGCGATTTCCGGTGTTACTTTCCCTAGCGTACTGTTCCGCTTTCTCTTTCCCCCCCCCCCCCCCTCCGTATCTTGCGTATCGATCCTAGGCAATGATGCAACCCAGTAGTGCAATTTTTAATATCTTTGCTGGCGCAAATTTTGCGAACAGGATCTCACGTTTCAGACGACGAGATACGCCAGGCCGAGGAGAAGTTCGCGGAGAGCCTGCATCTGGCGCAGTTGGGCATGTTCAATTTGTTGGAAAATGACGTGAGTTGTGTCCTTGTGTTGAACTGCTATCTACCATGGCTGGGTCCATTCTAATCCAGTTCAAAGACTTGGTTTATCATCTGGAAGCTAAGTTAATACTTCACCTATCAGAAATCTCATTGAAGGATACTTAATGGTTGTGTTGCATAAAGAACAGCTTAAAATGGTTCGAGGTCAGCTAAGCAACTTGGGGTACCATTGGTGATAGAAAGAAATGCATCGTACTAAGAAAATTTAGTTTGGTATATCTTTCTCTATCTCCATTAGCAACTTAATTACTTAGTTGGCTAGTTTTAAAGACATCGCTTAGGGGCCATGTGGGTATAGAATTGAAATTGTTGATGCATTATTATTATTATTGATGATGTATTAAAAAATTTGTTATAAAATCCTTAGCGGTGAATCATGGTAGCTAAGAGAAGATAAAGTTTTAAGTTGATGAACGAGGATTAGATTGGGCTTGGTTATCACTGTCTGTAATTACTAGAAAATACAACTTGAATAGTGTCTCATTCAGGTGGAACAAGTGGCGCAACTGGCAACATTCAGTGAAGCGCTCTTGGACTACCACCAGCAGTGTACCGAGGTCTTGAGAGCACTAACAGAGACGCTTTTGGAGAAGTATGTATTTGTGATTCATTTCTTAAAGTCAGCAACTGATTTTTTTCGTTTCTAATAACATGTTTGGGAATTGTAGGAAGGATGAAGCAGCAAACAAACCAAAATTGGAGTTCGTGCCGAAGACTCTAGCCGACCTGCAGGTTGATGCAATATCGCAATCAGATGCCATGAACGGTGGGAACTACAACCTTCACGGTAAAACAGATCTTACACTTACACATACAAAGATGACGATATTTCCGGGTGGATTGGCTGTTTGTCTCTTATCTCCTTTGTCATGCAACGATTCTACATGTCCTAGAACTATATACTCTGACTATGTACTATGATACATTGTTGTACTTTCTCCTTGTTGGTTCTTTCTCCTCACCTATCTTGTCTGTTGTCGGATGGTCATTGAACTTTATCGTATCTTTGCACCCAAAGGAACATTTTACATGCACACATGGTGTATGACAATCTGGATAATGTTATCGTGGCGTTGCAGGTTGGAGCGTTGACCAATCAAGATTATAGCGTGAGATCAAGAAAGTCATTTTCTGCTACCTCTTATTTTTCTAATATCGGGAAGATCATGCGAATGTTTTGTTTGCTAAATTGTGAGATAAAGTTTCCTATTACTAGACCGCAAACTTTTATGTTATCTTCCATTTTTCAATGTTGTTTTGTGAAAGTTAGAGTAAAGACAATATTTCTTTTGTGATTTCTTGATGCACTACTTTTTGTATTAGTCAGGAAAAGAGAAATCATTCTCAATAATTAAGTAGATAAAGTTCATAGTTATGTTCACACTTGCTGGTGTACCATTGGCATTCTCAACATAATTGCAGTTATTTCTTCAAGCGGAAGGTGATAGAAAATGAACTTCAAGATTCTTGCGTAGTTCGTTTTACAACGTCAAAAATAAGAGAATCGTATCAAGCAATCCTAGCAGTAATTGCGAATTTCCAGTCATATTTTTGGATGTTGAAGTCACAGCTATTACTGTTTTAGGAAATAGTTGTGACAATGTTTTTCATCATTCGAGAGTGTGAAAAGAAATTCGCGTTTCTTGGGGGACGACCTGATGCATCTGGCTACATCATTTTGTATAACATTTACCAACACTTCTACCACATACTCTTTGTCTGTTCTGCGTGTATACTCTCGCATACTTGAATGTCTGTCCTTTTGACACGATTTAGGGGCAAGTCGAGCCGGGTCTCCAGTCCCTGGGGACGGGAAGCGCTCACAGCTCGAGCTATTTCCGGCCGGAAATCCGCCACAATCTGCCAATGGTAAATTTTGCATGGGCTTGTCCTTCTCTCATAATACCTTCTCGCATAATTAATCGATTACAATTTTCCTCGCTTTTGGTGGCATTGCAACAAAAGGGGCTAGAGAATAACTCGTGTTTCACCTTATTTTCTGTATCATCGCTTAACGCACACATTTGTTCAGTGACCGTACTATCTCCGTTTCCACTAATTTTCATGGTTGTCTATTTAATTTTTTTTACAGGTGAATTCGAAGTATCATTTTATATCGAAGGATTGCCATTTGTTTCTTTTTTTTATTGTTGCAGCCTTTGATTCGATATATCGAGTAAAAACATTTCATTACTGAAATAAATAGTTATTGTAACAATATATATTTCAGATAGAGACAGTAATATTATCGTGATGCACAGTATATATTATATATAAATATTTCTAGATAATATTCTTGTTTCCTCGAGACAATGGAAGCTGGTTTATTTTGCAGCTTCTCCTTTGCCATCTCCAAGTAAATCGCCGGCAAGGACCCCGATGCAAAGACAACCTTGCTGCACAGCTCTGTACGATTTTGAGCCAGAGAATTCAGGGGAGCTTGGGTTCAAAGTAACTATAATAGTTTATTAAGAGTAACAATAATATCATTGAAATTACGAATACTTTGACTGCTTTGAATGCCTTAGTATTTGAAACCGCTATTAAAATTAAAACAAAAACTATTGAGATACTTTTTGTTTTAATTTGACTATCAAGTCAAAACTAACTACAGTGCATCAACTCATGAAAGTAACAAGGTATAAACAAGAAACAAAAATTGCAATCTGTCATTTCGACTGGTTCAGGAATTCTAATGCTAGAATAGTTTTCAGATTTTTATGCCCATGGTCATTTCAAGGTCACATTATTGTATACTTGATTGAGTGCTCGTCTTGATATCGATAAAGTCAAGTAAATATCATTTAGAATGAAAAAGACAGATGATCTTCAAATCATTTTGAAAGTAACCTAAAGAGAAATATTCGTTATTAGCTCACTTTATTAGTTGAGCATGATAACAGCAGTAACACTGATTAGGATTGCAGAATTCAGCTGGCAGTCAAAGTGTTACATCACTTTGGATTACTTCAGGGTTATTCAATTTGAGTGTCGTAATTTTAAATAAAATAATAAATACATAATACATAAAACATAAATCGTTTGAGATTTGTCTGGTTTCTTAAAAACTATTTCATGACATCCATTATGGCGAAAGAAGAATTTAATGAACACTTAATTTTATAGAGAGGAAACATAAATTGGTTGCTAAGGTCATTCGATTTAACAGTATTGGACTTTTCCTCAGTGAAAGCTTTTAGAAAGTAATTTCGGAAACAACATTACGATTACCGTTAATGGAATTGAATTACAGTTACGTAAATATGTAATGGAGAATTGTGTTAAATTAGATACATCAATACAGTTACATTTACAGTTAATGTTACGAAGTATGCTTCACGTTAAAATCAAGAAATCAAACGAATCTCAAATAGTTGTCTCTTACTTCAATTTAAAGATGTGGCGTTTAATTTGGATGCCTCTATACTATAGTTAACAGATGAGAAAACATGATAGAGTTAACAGTTTACTTACCGGAAGTCGATCAGTAGACGTTTCAGCACGTATCCGTGCCATAACTAAAGGGAACTTAATCATTCTCTTCCAAATGAAATTTATAAATCATGCGAATCAAGAAAAATTTGTTTGTAAAATTCCAACTATAGAATAGCTGGTGAGGAATTTGGCGCATGGATATGGAAGTAACTACTTTTTTTCTTTGATTTCATTTAAGATATAATATTACAACCAAAAAATATAATTAAGGAGACGTAAGGATACGTATTTATACAAATAATTTTTTTTTTAATTAAATGTTTATTTAAAGCAACTTTTTATTTATTTATCTTTTTTTAAAATATTGTATTTATTACCAATGTTCCATATTTGATGCATTTTTGCATATTTTAAAATTACTTCAGTATCGACAATTGTTTATTAGAAAATCTTTTATCTATCGTAAATGATTTGTGACAGTGGCATGCGAAAAACAAAACGGTATTCCATATTTGGCTACTAACCTCTAATTTTTGATAGAGTCGAGTAACGACCGGTAAAGAAAATGTTAATACCATCGATAAACTATAAGTTCACGTAGCTATAGCGGCTTCAATGAGTGGAGCGCTGTTCAACCGACAAACTGTATGTTTCCAGGAGAACGATACGATCACTCTGATCCAAAAGATCGACGAGAACTGGTACGAGGGCAGCCTGAACGGTCGCACGGGTTTCTTCCCAGTAACTTACGTGCAAGTCGTAGTGCCATTACCTTAAGAGAACATGCTACGCCCCGTAAACCAAAGACCCTGTATTCGTTCACCAGCGTCTACCACGAGAAAAATTATCTTAACGCCTCCAATTAGCCTAACTCTCTCTCTCTCTCTCTCTGTCTCTTTCTCTCTCTCTGTCTCTCTCCATCTCTCTATTCAAGACTTCTCTATTGTCATTTACGTTCTATGGTCCCGAGGCTTGTTCGTATATGACGGATTTCAAAGGTTTTCTCTGTTCGTTTTAATTATTTTTCCATTTTCTCTCGATCTCTGTCTCTCTATTTCTATCTCTATCTCTATCTCTCTTGTCCCAGAAATAGCTGTATACGCATGTTAATGTACATATATAATGTTATAGTGTCTTTTATCGACGTAAGGACCCTCGCGCGCGTACACAATACAGACACACATGCACACGCGTACCAGCATACAGAAGAGACAGACAAACAGACATACACACGAATAGATACACACAGAGAGATGTATACATTGGATACGACGAAGAACCATACTGATATATACCGAGACACTTAAAGTACCTACGATGGCAGTCCACTGTCAAACGGCGGCTCATTTTTCACGTTCGATGTCGTTTCATAGTCATGATGTAACATCCTCGTTAGTTTCTCACCAAAGGTTCAATTGCACAAAGATATCAGACCGCCAAGACTGCATTGAAATCCGAGTAGAGCAAGGACATTTCGAATACTCTTGTACCATCGAGCATGTTTGAGTTCCGTCATTCATCGGCGTATCGTTAGAGAATCTTTTCGTTTCGTTAGTATGTCTTTTCAGTTTGTCGTCGATCAAATGTTTGTTCATCGTTTCGTCGGATCGGTGTCCGCATCGATCGCCATCTTTTCGTAAAATTTCGTTCACGTTCGAGAGAAACGAGTCCCTCGAATCGTGAAGTGCGTTTTCTTCGGTTGGTTCGTAGATCGAGAACGCGTTTATTAGTTGATAGTGTATTCGTTCCTTCATTCCCCGGGTAGTCTTAACGTTTAGCCTTCTCCATTTCGTTGAATTGTTTAGGTCGACACCGAGTTCAGAACCGGTTTAGTTCAAGCAATCTTCAAACGTGGCGGCGAATCTCTTTCACGAAGTCGAAGCAAACAGCGAACGGCTTGATCCTCTGATTCGGTTCATTTCAGTTGGATAATTGATTTCGTCGCAGGATCGCGGCCAGGATCGCGTCGGAGATCGTACGTCATGCTAGATCATTCGTAGGCCATAAGCTTGATCAATTATAGCCGGTCACGAGATCCGTTTCGAGATGAAGTTAGCGCGATCATCTTCTTATACTTCCCCATTACCACCAATCCGCCCCTTTGAATGATCACACGCTGAACGAAGATTTTCTTCCACGATGCCGCTGATCCCATTCCACATGTTCTGAAACAGAGAATCTTTTTGTGTCGGAATTAGAGTATTATTATTATTCGTTCGTTCGTTCGTTCGTTCGTTCGTTCCCCTTCATTGACTTTGTACGAGAGTTCAACCGCCAGAACAATGAAAGTAATTAAGGAAATTGGTTATTTGTTGCCACATGGATTTTAGGTAAATCTTCAACAAATATTTGCTAAGCATAATATAGTAATGTTAGAGTATATATATGTATATATACATATACATATACATATACATATACATATATATACACACGCATATAGATCTATACACGTGCGAAGGGTGAACTAATAAAAACCGTCGGTATAGTTAATCTCGAAACCGCCGCAGAGTTGCCGAACAATTTATCGAATATGAGCCGCGCGGCACCGTAAAAGGCGATATAAACGGCGATCATAATTAGTCCACACGCGGCGTCACTTTGGATATTCGAAGGTCGACCGATGTCGTTCGCGATGTCGCGAGCATATTCGATGAAAAATATCTTTTTCCACGAGGCGCACGTTCGAAGAACCTACGTTTCAGGAAATTCTCAGTTTACGGAACGTTGCCACTAAAAGTATTGCTACCGTTGTATACGCGATTGCAAGGTGATCCGGAAACAGTTGCGATCACCGTAAAGTTGCCTTCTTCTGTAAGTCTCATTCGGCAACTTGTTCGCCGACTTTCGCGGTTCATTAGTATCCATTAGTTTTCGTTGGTTCGCGCACCGCACGTGTGCATTTACGTATATGTTGCAGCAATAACGCTGATGGCCGTAACAATGGTATTATTATTATCGACATTTGCATATTTTTCCATTGCCGTCGAGTCCATTCACTGGGCGAGAATCAACGTTCTCGGCACCAATGCGCCCTGAATCGCTACGAGCTCGGCTCCGCGTAACGTTCTCCAACATTCCTACAATGTTCTGGCAGCGTTTCGATTTAACGGCGACGAATAGTAGGAGTTCTCAATGACGACCGTGGGTTAGTTGTACCGATTAACCCTTGGACGGCGAACCATTTTCGCAACTATACAATTGACAATGTTCACAACAATTCTGTGCTTTATTCAACAATGTTTCTAATCATATTTTCAAAGATATTCCACATTTATATGAAATACAGCCGTTTATTTCATTTAATTGTCGAAAATTGATTAGTAAGGAGACCATTTCAGTAAATCGGGTCACAAAAGACCCGGTAATCGCAGGCCGAGGGTTAAGGGTACCAACGATACCGTAACGCGGATCGAACGATGTTATTGAACAGTTGAACTCGTTAACGTTGCACTAGTTATATTTAATAACGTTTTCTATGAGTTAGTCGCAATTACTATGATCTCTAGCAGCGTACGTCAGCGAGTCGTACGATGGATTTTTCATTTCCTGCGCGACGCATCTCGATCGAAAGGTTGTCAACGACGTTCACCGGGCAGTCGAGAACGGGCCGCGGCGGTTCATTTCGCGAGGACAGAAGCAAAAGTCAGCAGACTAATTACTATTGGCCGATATCCTTGATCGTTGCTGCTGTTACCGTCATCAGCGTTCGCTCACCATGAAATGGATCAGAAAAAACTAAAAGAAACAGAAAAAGTAAAAAAAAAGAAAGAAAGAAAAGAAGAAGAAGAGAATTATGAATAGGAGATAAAAAGACATTGATAAATCCATTTATTGTAATTATCGTGGATCACGAACTTTTATTCCTGAGACAAACTCGAAGTGTTATCGATGTTGTGCAATATTAAAGTTTAACATCATGGTGTTTAAAGCCTGTTGTCGTGATCGCTGGTTGCTCAGTGTTTCTCAAAGCCCCGTGGTCGATGGGGAGGTACGTGTCAATTGATGAATAAAACGTTAGTGTCCTTTCGGTCAGGTCCCAGCGGCGAGACGAACACGCTTTCAGGCACGGCTTCCGTTGGATTCGCACGAAAAGCCAGTGAAACATTGAAACGCGGTGCAAGAACAAGGTCTGGTCGGGGTCTGGTCAAACGACGTGGAAGTACGATGAAATACTATAATATCTCTGTAAGCGCGTGTCGAGGTCAGGGCCTGTCCCAGACTTTAATACCTGATCAAACGATGTGGTCGAGTCAAAAGCGCCATGGACCTACTGTGAAATTCTATAATACCTCTGCAAGGATGTTGCAAGTTCAACATGGGACCTGATCGGGGCCCGATCGATGACTTCGACACGCGAGCAAGCGATGTACAGCGTAAAACGTCGCGGTTCCACGGTGAAATTCTACCTCTGGAAGCATATTCCGAAGTCAGCGCCTGTCACGACAATCCAGACCTGATCGGAGCCTGATCGGAGCCTGATCGGAGCCTGATCGGGGATTGAAACATGCGACCAAGCAATGTCGAGCCGGAAGCGCCGCGTTCTCGCCGTTTCTCGCTCGAAGTAACGCAGGAGGCTGTCGTTCTCGTGATCTCCCCTCCGTCTGAGCGACCAGCACATTCGGAGAACGTAGCATTAGCGAAACTAGGTGCCATACAAGCGTTCCTCGTGAATCTCGAGATTCGTCGACGTTCGAAACAGACGGGAAACGTTAGAGAGTAGTCGCTAGCGACGTAAACAACGATCCCAATCGGTAGCTGCACGTTCTCCCAAATGCGATCGCTCGCCAGAAAGTTCGTCAATTAATAAGAATACGAGAATCGGCGGATTGCGGGTCCTATCTTTGATGAAGACGGCGGTTGCAATGTTTGGGGATGCTGTAGGGAGCTTGTGCGAAGCAGACTTGGAGACTAATTAGATGGCGCGTGAGATTTAAGTACTCTTTTGTACAGTATTCGAGGAAACGGAGCAACAGAAAGTATCATAGCGGTCATTTGATGTATTTGGTCGACCCTTGAGCGGATTAGTCGAACTTAGACTGCGGATCTTCGTGCGTAAATATTTTCTGTACGGATTGCAAGAAGTGCAAGCTGTATGGAAGTTCCTTTAAATAATTGTGACAAGTAGACGGCGGATGTTTATCGAAACTAGAAATTGTCCAAGTCGATTTTAAGAAACAGAAATTGCGAAATAATCGAGTCGCTTCTTTGAATCGTTTCAGTGGATTAGAACTACCAAACCAGTGAAAATGACTAGTTTCTGATTTTTTCATTTACAGTTCCAGATATTGTAAAAATATTTTTCGGAGAAATTCTTAGGTACACGTCTTTATTGAAATATATATTATAATATGAATTATACAAAGTTTAAAGATTAAATAGATTCACATCGAGGTATATATTATAATATAAATTATACGAAGTTAAAATAAATCCAGTTTTTTGGCATTGTTACAAAATAATATAAATTAGTCGCTCGTTTAGGGCTGGGTAGTTCTAGCGTTAAGTTCTTCTTATATTATTCGCGAGTCCGCAGTTTAGTAATAAGATGTTCTTAGATTTTGTTCTCACATTTCATTGCCAGCTAAAAAAACTAGTTTCCTGCGATTTTATTTTTGCACCTCAACTTCAACGAAACAGACCGCTGTAAACACATGAAAATCCACAGTTTACGTCTCGAAATCACTTCTCACTCGGCAATTCGGTGAAACCGAATGTCAAACGAACGCTTCGCTCCATTGCAATTTCGAAATTCATTTCGCAGGCTCGCTCAAGGGATAAAGTACTCACTAAAATGAACCGAAAGCGACGCAACAGCCATAAAGTCTCACCGTTGCGGTAATCGTGTGCTCACGTATGGTTCGAACGAGAGTCCAGCAATTTTGCGTCCACGTGAAAACGATAGCAATATAACTATAAGAACGGTGAAATATTTTTCCTCGAGCAGAGGGGATCGGCGTCCCGATCGTTTGAGAAACACTGCGCCCGGTGTACCGTGATCGAGATAAGAAACCACAAGCAAACAAAACAAAACAAACAAAAAAGAAAGAAACTGCGAAAAAAAAGAGAAAAGAAAAAGGAGGGAGGACAGTTTTGCCGCGTGATAACGTTTAATTTCTGAAGCGACTCCTTCATCGGAAGCGAGACAACAAAAATCGGCGATCGACGATCGTGGAATAAAAAGAACTAAGCGAACAAAAAAAAATCGAAAAACCCACAAAAAGGAAATAAACACAGAGAAACGAATGAGATGAAATGATCTATAAATGAACNTAGCGGTCATTTGATGTATTTGGTCGACCCTTGAGCGGATTAGTCGAACTTAGACTGCGGATCTTCGTGCGTAAATATTTTCTGTACGGATTGCAAGAAGTGCAAGCTGTATGGAAGTTCCTTTAAATAATTGTGACAAGTAGACGGCGGATGTTTATCGAAACTAGAAATTGTCCAAGTCGATTTTAAGAAACAGAAATTGCGAAATAATCGAGTCGCTTCTTTGAATCGTTTCAGTGGATTAGAACTACCAAACCAGTGAAAATGACTAGTTTCTGATTTTTTCATTTACAGTTCCAGATATTGTAAAAATATTTTTCGGAGAAATTCTTAGGTACACGTCTTTATTGAAATATATATTATAATATGAATTATACAAAGTTTAAAGATTAAATAGATTCACATCGAGGTATATATTATAATATAAATTATACGAAGTTAAAATAAATCCAGTTTTTTGGCATTGTTACAAAATAATATAAATTAGTCGCTCGTTTAGGGCTGGGTAGTTCTAGCGTTAAGTTCTTCTTATATTATTCGCGAGTCCGCAGTTTAGTAATAAGATGTTCTTAGATTTTGTTCTCACATTTCATTGCCAGCTAAAAAAACTAGTTTCCTGCGATTTTATTTTTGCACCTCAACTTCAACGAAACAGACCGCTGTAAACACATGAAAATCCACAGTTTACGTCTCGAAATCACTTCTCACTCGGCAATTCGGTGAAACCGAATGTCAAACGAACGCTTCGCTCCATTGCAATTTCGAAATTCATTTCGCAGGCTCGCTCAAGGGATAAAGTACTCACTAAAATGAACCGAAAGCGACGCAACAGCCATAAAGTCTCACCGTTGCGGTAATCGTGTGCTCACGTATGGTTCGAACGAGAGTCCAGCAATTTTGCGTCCACGTGAAAACGATAGCAATATAACTATAAGAACGGTGAAATATTTTTCCTCGAGCAGAGGGGATCGGCGTCCCGATCGTTTGAGAAACACTGCGCCCGGTGTACCGTGATCGAGATAAGAAACCACAAGCAAACAAAACAAAACAAACAAAAAAGAAAGAAACTGCGAAAAAAAAGAGAAAAGAAAAAGGAGGGAGGACAGTTTTGCCGCGTGATAACGTTTAATTTCTGAAGCGACTCCTTCATCGGAAGCGAGACAACAAAAATCGGCGATCGACGATCGTGGAATAAAAAGAACTAAGCGAACAAAAAAAAATCGAAAAACCCACAAAAAGGAAATAAACACAGAGAAACGAATGAGATGAAATGATCTATAAATGAACAAAAAAAAAATACTAAATCGGTATCTTACTCTATAAATGTTGGCTATTGTTAAATGTTGAATATTGTTCTGCGGAGGGCTTGCCACCATTCGAGCGACAAACCAGGTCGAGCTGTCGAATAGATGCCGATCAATCGGTTGTCTCGTAGACTAGCCGATCATTATTCTTAATATCAGTTAATGTTCCGTTGCACGCGTTCTTTAACTGTCACTGCGAATAGGAGCTTAATTTTAGCCCTTTGCAATCGAAGCTGTTTCAACTCGAAATCCAACATATTATATCATTTACTTCATATTTTATTATTTTATGTAATTTATTTTATATTACATTTTTTATGTGATTTATTATTATTATTTATTTCTCGTATGAAACCGAGCCAGTTGGCAAGTACAATACTTGCAGTTTTTTGGCAGGTTTTCCTTTTTTAAATATAAACAAATCTGACACGGTTCGAATAAGTTGGAAAAATGGTGTAGCAAGTTTTAGTGGCGCCTCGGAGTCTACGCTCGAGTGCAAAGGGTTAGAAGAATCGCGTTTTTGTTATTAGTCATTTTAAGTATTCGTTTAGGACAGTATACGATCAGTTTTTCGAGCTCGGGGATTAGGCGTTCAGGTGTTGAGAGGGTGTGACGCGCGAATACCGTTCGAAGCGACAAGCTCTCCGCATTTTAATTGTAATCTAACTATTTGGGGCTCGAGCGGACATCGAACCTCTCGTCCCCCGCTAAGTCACTGAGCATCCTTGGTCTGGAACAATTGGATTAGGGACGTGCCCCTCCCCACCCCACACCCTCAGGTTGTTCGCCCTAGGACCCCCAGAGAACGTATTTAGCCGGCTTGCTGCGACCCCCTGTCCCCCGATTTCTTAGCAGAACGATGATATCTCGCTCGTCTCGCGGCCCGTTCCCCGCGTTTCCGGTCTACTTATATTTTGTAAGCGTCAGATTGGTCCGCGTCACGCCGGGAGCGTCGCGACGCTAGCGAGGCGTCTCCGTTCGTCGATTGTGCTAATTTTCGCTGAGGCTTTTTCTCGACGGTTCCGTTAAGCCACCAGTCCCCCCCCCCGTCCCACACCCCCGAATACTGTTATTGTTGCCGAAGCGAAGAGACGACCAGTGGATGCGACGCAGTGATACTTTCAGACAATACATTACAATTAATTACACTTATATTAATAAATTAATCTATTATGATTATTGAGCTCCGATTGAAGAGGATTATACGATATGTATTCGATTTCGGTCAATGCTAAATAATTATTAACACTAACTAAGAAATAAAGTGTGCTCTATGTCATGCTATACTATCTGCCTTTTCAATTCGACACGCTCGAAGATCTTGTTTCGTTTTGCCGATCGATTATGTTCCATGTCGATTTGTCGGATTTCGTCGGAGACGCGGTTTATCAGTTATGTTTCTCGGCGCGTCCTCCTTCGTTACACATTCCTTTGCGAAATGATCACTTTTCTTCGAATGTTTCTTCGTATTTCGTTTTTGTCGTTTCCCCCTTTTTTTTGTATACCGTCATCGTCGTTCGTAATTGTAATTAATTTATATCTTCTGTAATCGCCGATCCTACGATTAGTTTGTACGCATGGTATTCTTTAATTGAAGTACACTGTTGAGTATTAATAAACGATCGATCCTTTCTGTATTCGCTAATCGACATTCATTTTAACGAGTTGTACTAACGACGCACTGACTTCCGTTAAAGCAGTAAAGGACGCTTCTCTTTTCGTTGAACTTTGGGAAACGGTTACAATCTACTATGCATTTGTCTTTAGAATTACCCTCGACGAGCTTCTGAATATCAAGTACATAAACTCTGTAATGTTAATACATTATATTTACGATTATATATATATATATAATCTACAGTTTATTATTTTCGTTCAATGTTCTCTTTCTGTATTCGCTACCATGATCATTAGTATATTAGCCATTGGCACCATAGCCATTTTATTTGCACCTTTCTCGTTGTATTCCGGCGTTTAACGATCTTGTGAATTTTTTGTTCTCTAGTTCTAAAAATGATATGCCCCTGATCAAGGGTTATTTTGATTTTGCACTTCACGAAAACATTGTTGAAACAATTTAAAAGAATATTGCTTCGAAAAATTCATAATTGTTACTGTGCCGGCAATAATATTTCCTTTTGAAATTTTTACGGTAACGAATGTGTTACATATTTTTTACACAAACAAGTCCGAAAGGTCAAACGTACTATTTCATTCTCATCTCGAAGAGAAATAAGTTTCGTACTTGTTTATATTGCATGGAGCCAAAATTTCAGTAATCTCGTTCATTTGGGAAATAGTGTTATGTTTTCAATTGATGCATCTCATGCAAATATAATTCAAAATTATTAATCATCCTCAATCATTATTATCATTATCAGTCATTTTTATCATAGTTATTATCAATCCTCTCTTATTTATACAGTTTATTTTCTACGTACACCGAAAGTGATAACGAAAACTTGTAGTAAAATAAAATTATTCAGGTATCCAATCTTCTCTCGTTTATACAGTTTATATCCTGTGTCCACTAAAAAAGGGAGATACATTAGGGTACATTGGAAACGTATTTATTGCAAATTCCAATTAAAATGAAACATCGAAAAATTACCATTGTCCTGTAGATATTTCGTTTATATCCTGCATGCAATAAAAATGCATTTACTGCAATTCCAACTGAAATGAAACTTTCTGCTAAAAATTTACATTTTTACGAATGTTCTTTCACTTATACGGTTTATATTCTGTCTGTACTAAAATGGGATGCACTAAAAAAATGCATCTACTACGAATTCCAATTAAAATGTAACATCGAAAAGTTACCACTGTCCTGTAGATATTTTGTTTATATCCTGCATGTAATAAAAATGCATTTACACCGCGATTCCAACTAAAATGAAACTTCGAAGTACATTTTGACATATACAACAGAATGTAAGCCAGCTCCAGTGTTGACAATTACGGAACAGTTTGCAAATGGAGGGCAAAGCGTCGATGAGGATGATTCGGAAGGATGATCATTGAAGCTCGCAGAAAGGAAAGCTTGGTTATCGTGTGTAAGGCAGCAAAGCGTGATTCAGCAGATCATTTGCAGAGTTAACCAAGCCTGCGACATGATTTACCGGGCGTACAGCTAGCATCCATAATGCATATCGTCCCTATCCGTGGACATAATTGTATAGGATATTACCCGAGGGAACCTGGTTCTTCCCGGTAACAAGGCATACCATCAATTCGAAGGAGGGACCTCATAAAGCATCCTCCACGTGGCTCCTACGTGTTATCGCTATGTACCGCGAGATCGAGCCTCTTTCCACTCGAGTTATTTTACGGACGTTGCCCGAAGTTATCCATGGAAAATATAGCCCTTTGATGCCCAATTACAGGGCCAGCGGCCGGTTTTACTCGACCCTCTAACACGCGACATTTTTTTTCGCTGTAACCTTTTGTCGAGCGGGAAATTTTTCAAAATGATCCGCTGCAGCTGGCTGTTACCCTAGAATTTTTATGTCATTTTTCTGTCACGACAATTTTACATCTATAGCGAAGTTTATCTGTTAGTTTTACTCGCCGTGAAATTTGATTTTGTTTTGCGGAATAGCCAGGTACATTTTGTATTTTATTTGACAATAAATTAATAATTTTACGATGGTCACGAGATTTATAAAATACGCGTTTATCATTTCTTTGGATAT